AAGAGGTAGCAAGGGGAGGTGAGGGGGTGAATATAGAGAGAAAAGGGAAAATGTAAGGATGAGTTCTGACAGATGGCTTGTCCTTGCAGAAAACTTTGCAATCCAGGCCAGCCACGGCACTTTCTCAGATGACTACCAAAACGAGCGTGACAGGTCTTGCAAACACAACAAGAGCGATACACAACAGCAATCCTGCTCCCTTGTTCCATCTCATGCACCTCCACCCGAACACCAATACTCACTCTCATTCTACCTCTCTGCCTCTCCTACCATCTTCTCGCCTGAGCTGACCCTCACAGCAGATTTTCCGGAGTCTTCCTGGGATCATGATGAGCTTGCACCTCAAGTGAGGGTGGAACGATGACGTGGCAACGGCTGTGACGTGAGCTGTGCAGGTAAAACAGCGATCAGGCCGTTGGATCAAGTGCAAGGATGGGTACATGCTTGCCTTCGACAAGGGGCTGAACTCTGTTACGTCATGACATTGTCAAGTTTCTCCTGCCCTTTGATGTAAATACTTGTAGATGAGATGGATGGCAGCCGTAGCTGTTTGACTTAGACTATCGTAAAAGTTTTGGTAGCTTGCCACTCCCTCCAGTTTTGAGCTCCTACTCCCTCCCCTCCACTCACCTGAGAGTTTTTCTTCCTGTGTAATAGTCCTCGTCCTTTCCCAAGGTCTCATTCTCGTAATGTTCGTGTGTTTGCTACTTTGTTTTCCAACCATCTTGTTTTCTTGCTAGTTGTTTTCGATGCCTCTGTCCCCCACGCTCTCAACAAAACTGATTTCATTCACATTCATGTACACATTTTACAACCCCATCTCCACCTCTACCCATCCTCTGCCTCCCTCTCACTATCTCTTATCCCTTTACTTGTCATCATCTGAAGATTCCTCTTCCTCCCCTTGCTGTGCATTGAACATTCAGTGCAAGCGGAGGAAACATCGAAGAAAACCTGCTTGAGGATCTTTGCAACGAGCTCCTTGCCACGATCCTGCGCTGGTTCAGATGAAACAACATCTGACATCATGCGAGGATGGGACAGGAGAAAGGAACAGCAGACGAAGGGGAAGGTGTGAAGGAGCGGCAGAGGAGGGGGGAAGTGAGGACTGAGAAAAACCTTTTGACTGCTCGTTGACATCCTCTCCTCGAGGTCCTGTAACGAGTGAGCAAGCAAGCAAACGAACAGCAAGCGGGCGATGGAAGCAAAGATGAACGAGAAGGAGGTGGAAGAGATGAGAAAGTTGATGAGAGGAGAGTTGGTTCAGTTGATGGAGAGACAGTGAACCAACCCAAGGGGATCAGGAAAGGAGAGAGCGAAAGGGTGGAGAGGGGAAAGTGGGGAGAGGAAGGGTGGGAAGGACAGAAAAGGAGAATGGAATGGAATCAAAGGGAAGGGAAGGGAAGGGAAGGGAACTGTAGAGAGGAAAGGAGAGGAGAGGGGAGGGAAAGGCAGACAAGGAAATGGAAAGGGAAAGGAAAAGAAGGAAAGAAAAGGAAAGAAAAGGAAAGAAAAGGAAAGAAAAGGAAAGAAAGGGATGGGTGTGAGTGGAGGAGTCAAGGGAAGGGAGCGGGGGGAAGGGACAGGAGGTAGAGTTGCCATGAGTTGCTTCACAGTACTCACATCAAGAGCATTGCGAGCATTGTCCCTGAACCTGTGAGCTGCTCGATGGAGGGTCTTGTTGAGGCGGGCTTCAGGCTGCAGGTGGCATGTAAGCAGTTGTTAGACACGTTGTCAGAGCATGTTGATTTAAGTGAATGAAGGAATGTTGGCATTTTGTACGAAGGTCGTTATGTTGTATGGATGTTATGTGAGAAAGACTTTGATTATGCGTTTCATCTTGAAAACAAATTTTGTTTTTGAACTCACCAGATTGAGAAGATCCGCTGCGGCATATTTCGCCAGCTCCTTTACCTGATGCAGAGAAAGCGAAAGATGAGAAGAGGGAAGACGCACAGGAGAGCACAAGAGGCAAGATTTCGTTGTACATCCACTTACATCCGGATACGGTGAATGCTCTCCATGATACAGCAGCACTTCATGACCGCCATTGTAGATAATTCTTGCCCTTGATCAACAAAGGTAAGAGAGGAATAGAAATCGGATGAATGAATTGTCAAAGATGTGGAGTGAGAGGACATTTGCCCTGCATGTCTTGGGATGAAATTCTGAGGTTGAGGCGATTAACAGTTGAGTTCAACACATCCTACTTGTTCTGCGGATGTTGTGCAAGCAGCGCTAGGAGCTGTCAAGGATAGTCAGGGAGAAGAGGGTTCTGACATGAGGGGTAAGGAAATGACAAGAGAAAGACGTTGAAACAAAAATAAGGCAATCTTCAAGGAAATGTCGAGGAAATGAGAAGGGAATGAGGAGGAAATGAGAAGGGAATGAGGAGGGAGGAGAGAGGGAGGGAAAAGGGAGGGAGGGAGGGCGGGAGGGAGGGAGGGAGAAAGACAGAGAGGGATGGAAGGAGGGAGGTATGTGGCCGAGGGAGGGAGGGAGGGAGGGGATGTTCATTTCGACGTCGTACCCTGACAGCAGCGATCCGAAGTGCCTCGTGCGGGTTGGAGGTCAGCGGGCAAACTGAGCGCACGTCACTCCTCTGCTGGAATTGAGCAAGGCCAAGTACCTAGAGGAAGAAATTTCCATTCCACGATCACCCGCTGCAGCTGCAGCAAGGATCCTGTCAGCTCAGCTCCAATTTTGCTCTAACCTTGAACTACCACCACCGCCCTTGCCCATCCCCCTGCTCCTCCTCCCTGTCATTCTAGGTTGCCCTGAATGCTTTCTTGTGCTATCAGACTTCTACATCCTCTTCCTCCTTTGCTCTGTTGCTTACTGGCGGGAATCGTGCAATGGCGCCAAGAGCTTCGAGAGCTGTCACAGGAGGCACGTGAGAAGGCGAAGGAGGAGGGGAAGAAGATGTGGAGGACTCGTAGGAAGATGCGCAGGAAATGTTCTTATGTTCTCACCTCCCAGGATGACAGTCGGGGTCTGATGAGAGAGCTGATTTGGAGATATCAGAAAGGATTGAGAGTACAAGGAACGTATCAAGAGAAGAGATCAAAGTGAAGTGAAGGATCGGAATTTGCAAGAAACAGCTTGTCAAAGCAGAAACACGAGACAAAGGAGATTCCAAATGACGTCAAAGCTGAGTGTACCATCCATTGAAATTCCTTCAGCACGCCCTCCTCTACAAACGCCTTTGCCTGCCATGGCTCAAAACTTCACTTCACCTACAAGGCCTCCTTCGGCTAGCATCACATTCTTTTCTTCAACAACCAATCGCTCCACCGTTCGAGCGCAAAAAGGAACCATCTCTTCATCTTTGATGCGGCACAGCCTGTAACGTTGCTGCTATCAATCGTATGACAACATCCACTGTATCTTCAACCTTGAGATGATGTGAATTCCTTGCTTGTCCTCATACCCAAAGACGTACTTGTGGCATGCTCTGCAAACTGCCATCAAGGCTGCTCGAGACGAATGAAACAGCTGAGTCCTCAAGAAAACAATGATTACATCGCTGCGGATATCTCAGCCAAAATCTTCATGGCTAAACTTTTGTGTTTGTACGTGTGGAACTCCGATTGCACCTGGCACCACGAGAAACGTCTTGTGAGTTCAAATTCCATCCACCTTTTCTGTTCATCCTACACTTTCCCCTTGTATACTTCTTCTTTCATTCTCCTTCTCCTTGTTCTGCTCTTTTACATGTCCCTGTCCTTGTCTCTTTCTATTCCTCGCCTCAATCTGAATTGCTACTCCTGTACTTACATATTGGAACGCAAGGTGCATCCCCCCCATCTTCATGATCTTGAACTGACATTCGTCATGCTCTGTAAGCAAAGACAAATCACTCGCTCTGCACTTCCCACCACCCGCTGCCCCTGCCTGCGATCCTTCCTATGGCCGACAGCCCCAGCATCTGCGTTTCCGCATCATTTCCTCCTCTTCTTCCTCCTCCTCCTCCTCCCCCTACACCCCCTCCTCTTCTCGACTTTGACCTGCCGTTCGAGGTCGGAGACCTGGACGAACTTGATGAGATGAGGAACAGACTCTACCAGCTGAGGTCGGGACTCGACTGCTTGCGCTACTGGAAGGAGGTTCAGCCACCAGACGCTTTCTCCCTTCTCCCTCCTCCCTCCTCCCTCCTCCATTCTCCTTTCTCCGCTCCCCCCCACCCTTTTTTTTTTTCCTCTTCCTCCTGCTCCCTCCCTCACACTCGTTCACTCCATGTACGAGCTCAAGATGGAGGTCCCGAGGCTTCTTGTGGCGGAACAACTCGACCATTGTCCTTGCAGCCCCTTCCTGCCGTACGGATCAGCCCCCTTCTCCCCTCCCACACGGTAGGAGGAGGACGCCCTGCCTCGATCAGCTGTGCGTAGTTTGCAGGGTACTTGGAGAGGTTCTTAAGGATCTTGGCAGAGTTGAGGCGAACAGAAGCATCTAGCAGCGGATGTAAGGACGAGTCAGGAGACGAGGAACAGGGGTAAGAACGAGGAGCAGGGATGTAGCAGAGGAGTGATTGCAGAAAAACGAGATTGGAAGAGGAGGAAGACGATGATTGCAGGGGTTCTCAGCGGGCAAGGAGATGGCTCAGTGAAGCTGTTACTTTTGCTCTCCGAAAGGTTTCCAACAGTGACGGCGATAACACTAAGATAACAAGCTGTGTTAACAGAACACACCACTGCTGACATCTCCGCCAGCAGACGCAGCAAGTTCATAACAAACTTACCCCTGCTCTGCCATCTCCAGACATTGCTCTTGCCCCATGTCACTGATCTTAGCAAGGGCGGCTGAGGCCCTTTTTTGACTTCTTGTCATGCTGGATCGCGCCATGGTAACCTGCCGCATGCCCAAGTCATGTGAGGAGGAGCATGTCTCTTCCTCCTACCATCCTGTCGATCTCTCCCTTCTTTCTGTTCGACTTCGAAGAGGCTCCGGCGCCCATTTCGCCCTCGCACCACAAACACCTTCGGATGCAGGAGGGGTCCTTTTGACCTAGTGATAGAGGGGTACTCTGGTAGCAGATAGGATTTGACGTCCGTTTCATGCTTTTACACAAGAAAAAACTACAAAAAAAACAATAGCGAAGGGTTGGGAAATGGTGGAAGGCAGCTGTAGTGCCAGAATTGAAGAAGAAAAAGAAGAACAAGAAGAACAAGAAGAAAGGAAGACGATGATGAATGACGACGACGACGACGATGACTATAGAGTGAATTAGGATCAACAAGATCAGGAAGCAGTCGATGTTGTGGGGGGAGCGGCAGGCAGACTGTGTTAGAGTCCTGTGGCAAAGTTAGTGCTGGATATGATGAATGATGCTATCCGATTGAAACAGCGACATGATATCATCTCCACCAGGAGAGAGAACAGATAACAGTTAGTTGGTGCTTGTTACTCTATGCGTCTCTCAGCGAGTGTCCCCGCATTCATCTGAACATAACGCTGCTCTCCAGATTCTGTGATGCTGTGCCAATGAAGAACAAGAAGGTACGCTGACCATCTAGAGTCCAGCCTGCCCCCCTCGGCTGACGACAAGCACAGCTCACCACCCAGCGAGATCTCAACGGAGTGCAATGGTTCTACTTCCTCGAGCCTTCCATGATGAAGAGGAGGAGGAAGGGAAAGTGGGCCCCGTTCAACCTCTTGGAGAACTGTGCTCTCGAGACCGCGTACCAGCAGGAACAGGAGGAGGTCTGTCCAACATCCAGGGCACATCCTTCATCCTCGCTGAGATTTGTGCAGGTGACGTTCGGTGCTGGACTTTTACCGGCGGTGCCTTTGTCATATTGTTGCTATTGTTGCTCAGTTGACGCTCCTCCCCCGCAGTGCATTCCGGACAGGACACAGCGGAACGACATCGATGGATCCTCGCGCAAGATCCTTGTAAGTGCGCGACTGTCGACATGCTCTCGTTGACGATGATGACGTAGCGAGGAACCTGGTTCTATCAAGCAAGTGATGGATCTCTTCAGCCGTACCCCGAGCATGTTGCTGGTACTGGTGCCGACGCTGCTGCTGGCTCTCTCTGACCTGCCGCGCTCGCGCTCAGATCATCTGGAATGCTTCTTCAGCGAGATCTCAGAGAGTGACGAGATGTTATTTTACATCCAGCACGGCAAGCAGGTGCCTTGCGCCGATGGCGACTGGTGTGCTTGAGGTGACGAGACGCTGCAGATGAAGCGGAACTCGCAGCTGTTCAGCAGTCTGAATGAAGGAATATTCGTCGGGGAAGGATCAGGGGGGAAGAGGTGAGAGCAACGATGTAGGAGAAGAGTTGTGGATGTTTGTTCACTTTTTCATCGTGTTCCCTTCCCCACACGTGTTCCATTATCGCCAGGATCATTCCTTCCACCCATTCCCATCTTCTTCTTTCCCTCTTCCTCCTTCTATCTCTCTCACCTCCTCCACCTTCCAACCTTTGCTTTTCGCAACTGATGCTGCTTCTTACCCATAGGTTCGTTCACAGAGCAGCGGAAGGAGAGTTCTGTCAGGTCCCATTGTCTGAATAGCCGCAAACCAGTCAAACTTGCTTGACGCAGGTCAGCGAGTCGGGAACTTTTCGCTACGTTACCCCTATCTATCAGGAGGGTCGACTAGAGATGAAAGTGAGACTTTGACAACTGGTTGTCAAACGCGGCTGACCTGCTGGTGTGCAGGCGGTGACCCCGTCCTTGCTGGAGAACTGCGGGTCAAAGACTTCAGAAGCCAGCAGTGGGTTCTGGTCGATGTTGTCGAACCACGACGTTGCGGTGATGCTGGGAGGAGCTGGGAGGCAGGCTAGGAGGAGGGGTGTAGGGGAAGAAGCCGTTGGGAGGGAGGAGGGGTTGGGGGAATTTGGGGAGACGAGGTTGAAGAGAAAAGATGGAAGAGATCAGGGGACCGGGTAGACGGTGAGAGCTAACGCAAGAGTGAGCAGATACTGCCTGAAGTTGACCTTCAACAAGTTTTAACCGATGTGAGTCTTGTTGCCTGTCCCTGCCTCCTCCCCTTTCGTCTCTTGTAATGCTCCAGCGCTCTCTTTGAGGAATGACCTTGCTTCTTGCATCTTAAAAAACGTGTGGCATGCTGCTCCTTTGCGATCTTTCTCCTTCTTCTCGCGATTCTCTCCGAGTTCATGACATCTCTTTCTGCCTTCTTTCGAACTTTCTCTCTGATGATCTTTAAACAGCTCAACGATGCTGCGGTTGCTATCGTGGATAACACAAGAACTCGTCCGGCCAAGAAAGCAGATCCAGGTTCCTTGACAAACCTTCCTTCTACTCCCCCCCCCCCCCCCCCCCCACCCCATCCTTGATCCTCCTGTCTCCGTTCCCCTTCCTTCTCCATCTCGGCTCCTCCTCCCACCCCTGCCATTCCTCGTTCACCTGCTTCTCCTCCTGCTGTTGCGTCTTCCACTCCTCACTAGGAAGGGAGTAGAGGAGAAGTCGATACTCGACCGCTGGGTCAAGAAGGCAAACATCGGACTTGTGCTTGACTACGAGTTGAAGGAAAGAACTGTCTCAGCTCCTCCTCTTCCTCCTCTTCATCTCCTGCCCACCACTCCTCCTCCATCACCTCTCTTGTCCTCCCTGTCTTCCTTCCAACCATCCTCTCCCCTCCTGCGCCTTCCATCTCTCCCATTTTCTTCCTGGTGCCTTTTTTTGATCCTCGCTCCTTCAGGGCTCCTACTGGACTGGATTCTTCCGCGTTCATCGCATCAAGCCAGGCAGCTCGTGTGACGGCACCAAGATAACACCAGGAGACATCCTGATTGAAATTGATGGGACTAGTGGTGATACTTCACTAACTATCTCTTCTCGTTCCCTCCCGTTGTCAACAGCCTGCCCTCCAGCCCTTTCCTATGTCCGTCGCTTCCAATGTTCTGCTTCTCATGTCTTGTCTCTTCTCAAGTCTTCATATCACCTACCCATGCCTCTCGTGGATCTTTGAAGATAGACTCCTCCGTCCATCTTCCTGACTGTTCTACTCCTTCGTTCTCTTCTCCTCTTCCTCCCTTCCGTCTATCTCTCCCTCTCTCATCCTCCTCTTTCATCGCCCTTTCCCACTCATTCTTCCTGCAGTCTCAGGCAAGTCCCTCGAGGACGTCGCCAAACTTCTCGAGGTGGGAAGGCACCTGAGGAGCTGAAAAAGTGTCTGACATCCTGCCTGGATGTTGCAGGGGAGAGAAGGCTCGGTAGTCTCTGTGAGGCTAGAGGAATCCAAGGTTGCAACATCGAGATACACTGTCAACCTAGTGCGACGCAGGGAGATCCCTCCCTCACAGTCGTTCTCAACTGTGCGTATCGTCTTTCCTCTAATCTTCCCTCTTCCCCTTCCCTCCCTCCCTCCCTCCCTCCAGAAAAGCGGGCGTTTACCACGCCACCATTGAGTTCTGTAAAAAGCACGGCGCCTTCAAACCGCGGACGATGGGCTCGGTCCCGAACGTCGGGCTCATGGCCCAGGCGGCGGAAGAGTACGGCTCGCACAACAAAACCTTCCACCTTCCGCCCAACGGCAAGGTGCGCGTGGAGGACGACGGGGGACGCCATTATCTGGATCACGAGGGTCGCCGCGTGCGAAATCTGGGCGGGCGTGCCATGCCAAAGGATGCGCCGGTCCGCCAATTGGGATGAAGCTCGCGGAAAATCGAGCAGGGCTCAGCGCGACGTCCGCTGATCTTCTGGCTCGAAGAAAAGCGCGCCCACGACCCGTAACTCATCGTTAAGTG